AAATGCTTCCTATTATGTATGAATTTAATTCCTATGTACTTTGCTGTTTATTTGGCTTTGAAATGTTGTGTGTACTCTAAATATTTTTACTATTTAAATACAAAAATATGTAATAGATGATTATAACTGCTCTTCTTCCAGTAGAACATGCAGGGTTATTTTTTACCTTAAATATTACTCTATGACTCTGAAGAGTTGAACTGTTGCCAGCTTATTTGTAAAGTTTCCTACATGATAGGAAAAAAATACACTGTTTAAACAAGATTATTTTGTTTTCATATTTGAAACATGTGGTCTATATTTTCTCCCAATAATTATAAGTTAAAAATCCACACAACCTATTATATGTTTTGTTCAACGATTGGTTTAAAATTTTAATAATAAACCTTAGCTAGCTCATTCAAAAAAGAAATTAGTGGGGGAAAAACTTTGGTAGTCTCTCATCAGTGAAAACTGATTTAGTTATGCAAATTACTGCTATGAATATTAAACCACTGATGAAAGGTTTTAATGAAGGGATCTTTTGTTTTGGAAATGCAAGGGTATATGCTTTAATTTCTTGCTAATTTACTGTTCTTTGATAATGTTCACATTTTCCCCAAAGTGACTTCACGGATGGGTTTAATACAGTGAATAGAACTACAGGCCAACAATACTGGTTTTGACAAGCCTTCCCCTGTGTAACAATAGATCATGATTTGCAGCCCCTTATGCACAATTCTATTAGGGTGAGTTTTGTCTACAGGGCTTTCCCTGAAATGAATTCTCATTTTAATGTTAGCCTCCTGCAGTTTTTAATTTTTAATCTGTAATATGAAATTGCAAATTTTACAAACATCATTTGAAAAAGCCACTAGGACAGAACCGAATGCCAAAGTTTACATATTGTCTAATTAGACTGTTATGAGAAGCAGCTTATCAATGTCAAGCCAAAGATCATCAAAAAATCCAATTACTAATTTGAAAAACACATATATTTATAGGTTAATTTTGTTTAATTTGCATCTGGTTCACTTAATCATTGTTTAAAAACTGTATTTAGCTTAATCATTTTGGTTGAGTTAGCACACACCTGGGCTGTGAATGTGGCTTAACAGCTTTTTCAGTTGCTTGTGTCATCCACAATAAAAAAAAAAATAGCTGTAACCCTCAGCATAAAACCCAAAGAAAATACAATGAGTAGCAAACCAATATTGAATATGAAAAAAACATTAAACCTGTTTACCAACATGATCAGTGTTGTCTTTTTTATCCTCTGCTTTTTTGCATGCCTTTTAGCTGAGTCCAAGAATTAAGGATTTTAAAGAAATATGAAAATAACATTCATGTAGCATTATGTATTATGCAGAAGAAACAATAGCTAATTCTAAAACCTTATTTAAAAATCTGTTCTGCTTTAATAAAATACCTTGTCTTTTAATACTTCCCTGTTAACATAAATGAAGGGGAAATTATCCAAATGGGATAATCAGCAACATTTTCTGTCTTTCTCCTTTTATCTTTACCATGCAAAACAGTGTTAAAATTATAGGTTTGCTGTGTGAGCATCAGTTTATAGGAAGCTTTCAAATATATTGAGACAAGAAATGGTTTTCAGAAGGTTCTGATCAGTTCTGGAGAACCTGTAGCATTTAACCAGACCTCACCTTTTATTATTATACCTTTGATGTAGTACTAATGACTAATGTAGTTAGGCAAAAAAAAAAAAAAATCACTAATGCCCTTTAAAAAATGACTTGTTTCTTTAGAGCGTGCTGTCTTGGGAATTCTGGGAGTTGAAATCCAGACATTTTAAACCTGCAAAGGTTGAGAAATATTGCTTTAGGGTGCTATTTTAGGACTGAAAATTGTTTCAGAGAACATCTTCCTCTACACTGGCATTAATGTACTTAGTCAGACCCAAATTGTTTTTCAATATAATTAAAGAGTCACATCCATAGTATATCACAACACAAATATCATTAATATGAACAGCATAATTTTAAGAAAAAGTTTGCTTGATCAGAAAATTTTAAAAAGGATTTATTTATTTTTATTTATTTATTTGATTTGTCAATCGCTTACAAGATAATAGGTATAAGTAAAAACATAGTTATGATTACATGAAATGGGTACATATAAGAAAAATAAAAGAAACAATAGGACAGGGACATTAGGCACGTTGGTGCGCTTATGCACGGCACCTACAGACTTCTTAGGAGGAGTGAGGTCAATAGTAGACAGTCTAAGGTTAAAGTTTTTGGGGTTTGGGGAAGAAACCAGTCAGGTAGAGTATTCCAGACATTGACCACTCTGTTGCTGAAGTCGTATTTCCTGCAATCAAGTTTGGTGCGGTTAACCTTGAGTTTGTATCTATTGTGTGCTCTTGTGTTGTTATGGTTAAAGCTGAAGTATTCATTGACAGGTAGGACATTGCAATGTATGATTTTATACTTAGATCAGACCGAAGACGGCGTAATTCAAGGTTTTCTAGGTCTAGAATTTCAAGTCTGGTGGCATAAGGTATTCTACAACAAGTAGGGGAGTGGAGAACTCTTCTTGTGAAATATTTCTGGACTTTCTCAACTGTGCTAATATCAGATACGTAATGTGGGTTCCAGACTGATGAGCTGTATTCAAGTATTGGTCTAGCAAACGTTTTGTATGCTCTAGTTCAGGGGTCCCCAACCACCGGTCCGCAGACCGGTACCGGTCCGTGGATCACTTTGCACCGGGCCGCAAAGAAAATAAAAATAAAAAAAATGGTGGCTTTCTTCGCCTTCGGTGAATGCTGCTGGGATCAGGGATCAAGGACACAAATGAAAGAAGGGGAGGGAGGAAGCAACCAAAGCCTGTCCTACTCTCTGGCTCAGTGGCTTTGGTTTCCTCCCGCCTCGTTCCTCTCAGTCGCTCTCTCGCTCCTCCACTAGCCCAGGAAGAAACTGCTTCAAAGAAGCCGGCAGGGTGGCTTTTCCTGTCGGCGCAGCTCCTCCGAAGCGCCCGTTCACCCCCACCCCGCCGCCCTCGGTTCAATCCAGTGCTCCGTTCTGCCTGCCTGCCTGCCTTCGTTTCTGGTAGTTTCGGAGCAGCTTCGGCTGAGAATAATAACTAATCACCTATTATTCTCAGCCGAAGCTGCTCCGAAACAACCAGAAACCAAGGCAGGCAGGCAGAACGGAGCACTGGATTGAACCGAGGGCGGCGGGGTGGGGGTGAACGGGCGCTTCGGAGGAGCTGCGCCGACAGGAAAAGCCACCCTGCTGGCTTTTTTGAAGCAGTTTCTTCCTGGGCTGGTGGAGGAGCGAGAGTGACTGAGAGAGGAACGAGGCAGACACCTGAGGGATGGGGCTGAGGGAGGCAGGGCCGAGAGACGGGGCTTCTCAGTCGTCCTGCAGGGACTTGTCCTGAGCCGCGGAGACAGCCGTGGGCCGCTGCCGCCCAGCGCTCAGTTTTGAAGGCGCTCCTCAGCCCTGCGCAGTTCCTGAATCTGCAGCTGAAACCCTCCGTTTTAAATGTCCCAATAGAAGAGAATATCTGTCGCTCAGGGTTGCAATGAGGAGGCATTGGCGCTCCCTGAACTTGGTGGTTTGCTGGCAGACGTTTTATTACTCGACTAGGTAACAACATCAGATGTTACTAGTCAGGTAATGAAACGTCTGCAAGCAAACCACCAAACTCGGACTCCTGCCCCCCCCGTCCTTGAAAAAGTGTTTCTGCGTGAAACTGGTCCCTGGTACAAAAAAGGTTGGGGACCACTGCTCTAGTTAGTAAAACTCAACTGTCTTGCTTAGCAGCAGAAATTTTGGGTCTCATCTTGGTCATAAGTCAAGGACTACCTGTATATGTATGATTTTTAAGTGGAAATAATAGTTAAATCAACATGAATTCTTACCCTGGGGCTTCCTTTTATCAATACTGTACAATACAAGAACACATGGAAATAGATGGGGGTGCAAAATGAATGGGAATATCAAGAGATTAATTAACTGTAGATGTCCTGTAATGCTACTTAGTCCTAGGAAGTTTTAAATCGTTTTGATATTTATATGCATGGATAATAAAAGATCTTTTCTTACAGTTGTGTTTAATGAAATGCTACTTAAGGGAGAAAAGAATTACAGAATATCTTGTGGGACACTGAAGTTGAGTTTCATATAAAGCCTTGAAGAGGCTTTATATCCTACCATATCTTAATATTACTCAGATGAACTGTAGTTCTGGCCCACTAACCTTGACAAAATATCAGACTGTTCTATGCATATCCCAAATTACAAAAAAGGACTTCTGAAGGATTATTTGACCTAGCACAAAGCAGCAAAGGCATGCAAGACAATTAGTTACTCTGCACAAGCATGTAAAGAAAAGTAAGCTGCCGGTTTAGAACAAGTGTACCAAATGGCACAGTATCGTTAAGAAAACATGCATGGGTTTATTTTTTTCAATTCTCTCCTTTAGAAGTCAGCATTAAGTTACACAAGGCATCTTCATTAGAATAAATATCCTACACTTAATAAAGCAGTGTTTAATTTTGTTAACCCATACTCAGAAACAGCTTGTATTTCAAAGAAAATTAAATAAACCAAGAAATAATATAGTTCCTGACTGTAAATTGTGTAGAAGCCTCACATGGGAATTATGTTTACTGGTTTAAACTACAAATAATTATTTCATCAGAAATTAATGGCAATATAGTTACTTTTAAAAGGGACACAGGTAAATAACCTCCTGAATTTATGGATGAGCATCTTAGCAAATAAAGCTGCTGATGGGTGTTAGATTGCATGCTTACAATTGCTTCCTACTAAAGATGTTTGGTAGGTGAGAAGTCAATTCAGTGTGATATGTTGAATTTAAATGTCAGATTAAAAAGAAGGGATGGGTAAAATAAAAAATGAACAAAATAAGAACAAATCCACCAATCACATATACAAAATGTTAAGTATTAAAATTTTCAGGTATCACGATACATCACTTTCTCACTAGCCATTTTATATTAATTGGAAAATATTTATTGAAAGATATTTTAAAAAACATAATTAAAGAGGCAAGGAATGGAATGAACTAGATTCTGGATATGCAAAAATAGGAAAGCACAAGTGTTTTGTCCTGGAATGTTCTAAGCAGAATTCAGGCAGCATCAGGCAATACCAATACTCATGATATAACAGTATATTCAGAGCCTATATTTGCAAATTAACGAATATTTCTTACTAACCAGTTAAGAGAACTGTCTTTTACCACTTCAGGAGCCCTCAGTTAAGACTGTAAAAACTTTGGGAAATGAGTTCTAAGTGAAGGCAATCCAATTGTTGAATTTCTATATTTTCTTTCAAAAAAGCTTGTGCACAGTAAAAAGTTAGGGTAGATGGATGAGCACACACTTGAATTTAAAGGCTATGGGGCAGTAAGGTCCAGGAAAGATTTGAAGGTTGGCACACAAAACTACATGTGGGCAGTGAAAAGAACTGTATAAGCTTACTTGCCCTTGGGTTCCCAAGAATCTGGGTTGGCAAAAAAACTTGGGACTATCTAACTTAACAGCATTTTGCTTTGACAGTATGATAACCTATCCAGCAGTTTATCCAAACTTCCAAACCATGTTTTTCCCCAGTTTGGTACACACTCTTCAATAGGATTACGGATCATGCTTCCAACTGCTAATCAAACATCTTCCAGAATTGTCTGTACAAAACAGCAAGATTTTAGAGATAATGCTAAACAGAGAAAACACTGGCCTTGTACAAATTCAGATTTCTGTTTTGAATAGCTGGTTTTTCTCCCTGAGTATTATTCCAAGAACTGTGCGTAACCTTTGCTAGTGTGGCAAACACCTTAGCTTCAATTGGAACATTATGTAAAGCAATACTGCTTAAGTGTGTTTTTAATTTTGAAAAACATAAGTTCAGTAGCATTAGCATTTAAAAATTTACAGACAATACAAATCAAATCAGTTAAAATTTAAATTCATAATCCTTTAATATTTTAAACAAAAATCTTAAAAATAATTTGAAAAGCTATTTACAAAATATTTGCATCAGATATTATAAATGTCAAGGGTTAAGCTGAAGCGAATGTTGAAGCATTTCAATTTCAAAGTTTTAAGGTTGTAATTTTTCGGATTAAAAAATGCACCCAGAGCAAATATTATAATCTATTTTCTTATTCTTTTGCTTGCTCTTGTCCTGCCTTCAGTTTCTTTAGGCAACTCAGTCATTAGAGTGGTATTTTCTTCTTTCATTTTCTTTTTTCCTCTTGTTTGCACTGTAAATACGGAAAAACAAAACAAATATATGATACCAGTATTTACAAGAATTCTTCCTAGAGTAGGTAAATTATTTGGAACATACACACACACACACGGAACTTTGAAATAATCTAACAGGATTAAAATCAATTAAAATTCAAGAAAATCTTCAGCATATTTTTAAGACACTCCGAAGGGCATGCAATTATTTTGCTAAAGCCCCAGTAAATATAAGTTCCAAAATGTACAGAACAGAATAAAAATGCCTGAATAATTAATTTTATATTCTTTCATTCAAACTGTGATAACATTAATCAATCTGAGGCTTTTTAGATTTTTTGGCGCTGTAGAACCAAGAATTTTGAAAACTATACTCACAACACATCTACAAATTTTCAGGCTAAAGAAGAGCATTACTTGGGAATGTTAACAGAATATTTCTGGGCAGAACAATTTAGTATATTCCTATGAGCAAAAAAATTCCTCAAGTCAATAGACTCAATTAAAAAAGATATATAGCACTCATGTAACTAAAGACCTATTATCAAAAGAGCTCCTTCAGAATCTTCTGAAAGTTCATGAATCTATGGGGAGATTGGACTTCTAAGTTGCATGTCCATAGTCAAGAAAGAAATTTTTTTCTTTTAAGTGGAGTATATATTGATCTGGACTGACTTGAGTTCTCAATTGCACTCTGTACATTCTTCTGGTAAATTGATACTCAAGTCCCAGAGTGAATTTTAAAATACAAAACCTCTGTATTGATTTGGACTGCTTTGTGGACCTTTTAAGGTGTGGTGCACCCTTCTTGAACGGTTGTGCTCTATTAAGATTCCAGAATAATATTAAAACTGAAAATCCCATTCAAACAGAATTTAGGAACAGAAAGACAAGATCAGGAAGAAACCAGTGCTTTACTGGATTATCTCTTTAATTCTAGAGTAAGAATAAAGCTTACTAGTTTAAGACAGAAGATAACATACCTGTTTTAGATACTGTTGATTTACTTTCTGGAGTTACATTTTTCACCATGTTAGCAGTGATAATTGTTTCCGAATTGTTAATTTGTTTTCTTTTTGCATGTTCTGATGAACCTTTTTGCACCAGCATATTTGAGTGCTTAACATTTTTATTTTGGTCATAATTAGATGAATCATTTTGATTGATGTTTTGAGTCATGGTTTTTATTTCAAGAAATTTCGGTGCCTTGCCCATTAAGGAAACTTTTTTATTAGAAACATTATTTAGAATTTGTTCATTAGGAAAATTGTTACTCCCTGCTGATAATGTACATTTTTCTTTGGGGGAAGGAGAAACAGTAGCCTCAAGTTTATTAATTTTTCTTCTACCTCTTCTTTGATTGATCAGAGTTGCCTTAGCTGTTTTCTGCAAATCTTTGTTTTGGATTTCATGAACAAACTCTTCTTTTAGAATAATGCGCTTTCCTCTGAGAGAGCGTGTAATTATATTGTATGTACCTGAAAGTTTTGCTAATTTACCTTTTCCAACAGATTCTTTGCAGTTTCCACTTTGATTCTCATTAGAAGATAAAGTGATGCTCATGTTCAGGGAGGGAGGAACTAGTGATGCAATATTAGTTTCTTGTCTTTGCTTCAATTGATGCTTTTTTTCAAAACTGTTTTCTAAAGGACCAAGATTATCTGTTACTAAAGGACTCTTTCTACTGCTAATTCTTAGCTCATCATTACTTTCTGCTGACATTCCACAAGGTGCTAATTGTTTTCTTTTACTTCTGGATGTATTTTGTTTTGATACAGCTTTTGAATCTTTCTTTCCATTTTGTTGAATGTCATTATTGGAAGAAATTGAGTTTGCTGAAATTTCATGAACTGCTTTCCTTTTTCTACATTTGTATGTGAAATTCTCATTTGCATTATTTGCTGTCTTCAAATCTTCATTTGGCTGTTCATCTGAATGTTCCCCTCTGTTTGATGACAGCAAATGACAAGTGTCATTTTTGACAGGAGAAAGAATTTTCTGAAATATAAGAGTGTTTCTTGTTCTTCTACTTACTTTTGATTGATCCTCCTTTGCAAGGAAAGCATCTTTGTCATTTTTATTTTCACCTATTATAGGGTTTATGTGTGTACTGTTAGAATCTGTAGATATAACATCAGAAATAGATTTTTTATGTCTGCCTCGCTTGGGTGGATTCTCTTTCACTGTCCTTTGGCTCTTCAGTGAACAGGATTCTTGAGTATTCCTCTTCCCTCTTGCCTTTTTGGATTGATTATCCTCTTGTCCAATATTTGGACCTTGGACATCAGCTTCATTACCAGATGTTTCATTGACTTGCTTGCTTCTTCCTCTCCTGGGTGGATTTTCTTTTACTATCCTTTTTGGCGGAATGTGCCCTTCACAAGTTTGCACATTTTCTAATGGCAACATTTCAGATTCTTCAAAATTTTCATTTTGAGCTTGTGGCAAAGAACATCCACCTTGGGATGAAGGGCATTTGTTCACTGTAGAATCTCCAGAAATATTATTTTCTAAAGGAACAGATTTGAGGACCACTTGATCTATCCTTCTCCCTCTGCCTCTTCTGGGCTGATTTTCTTTTAGACTGACAATCACATCATGATCTTTCCCATCAGAGGCTGGCTTGCTTTCACTTTCTACAGAAGGGTTGGAAACTGATTTTTTGCCTCTACCTCTGCTAGGCAGATTCTTTTCTATTCTGGGTGGACTGGGCTCTGCAGGAGTTTGCATGCTTTCCAAGGGAACCTTTGGAATCCCATTACAAATGTTTTCAGTTTGACTTTCTTCTTTATGAGTATTACTCTCATATCCAAGTACACATTTTTCTTCAGAAGCCTTAAAGTCATCGTTAAGTAAAAACTGAACTTTTTTTTTCTTCTCCACTAATTTTTTTCCCACTGCTTTTAGATTATTTTCTGAAGCTTCGGTTTTACATATTTTAGACATTGTAGATTTTTGTGTTCCTTGCTCATCTGCATTCAAAGTTGTGATTAATGTTTCTGGGCTTGATTGTATTGCAGCAATCTTTCTTCTTTTATTACTTTCTTCCCCTGACATTGTATCATTTGCTTTACCTTTGGCAATTGTTGTCTTTATGTCACTTGCACTCTTTTTTACATTTCTAGACCTTAGCCTTGTTTTGGCAGTTAAATCATTTTCATTTTCTTGAATTGGTCCATTTTCTTCCAAATCCATACTTGTTACCATTTTTCCTTTTCTTTTAGTTGCCACTTTTCTCCTGTTCACAGGGTGTTTTTCCACTGCTGTTTCCTTTAAAGGTTTTTCTAATTTCTGAGTATGGCTTATATTATTAGATCCTATATTCCCATTTGTTTCAACATTCTGCTTCTTTGGTCTCCCTCTTTTAGATAATTTGGTTGTTTCAATTATCGTAAAATTACTTTCAGATTTGTGCAATAGTTTTAGTTCTGTGTGGCTGTCAAAATTTTCACTGATTTGCTCACAATTAGCTGATGTTGATCTATTCTTTGTAGGCCTCTCAATTGTCTTAGTATATACTGCAGAACTGCAGTCATTTATTTTCCTTCTCCTAGTTCTACCCAAAGCAAGTGGTTCAGGCTTTTCTGTTTTTAATGCATCAGAATTTTCAGTTGCTTCTTTTACAAAATCAGCGTTAACTTCATTTTTGAAACTCATTCCATCTGGCTCATAGTTTTCAGAGAGAGAGATTGTTCTGGTTGTTTTTTTGTTGAACTCTGTTTTCAATTCATTAAATAAATTACATGCAACATAGCCTTCATGGTTTGGAACACTACTGTTATTTTTTGTTATTGGAAAACGAGATTCTTTTTCCAGGTCTGCTTCACAACTTCCAGGCACATTTTCCATGGACTCTGAAATAAAATATGATCAAATATATTTTTAAGATCACAGTCATTAAGAAAAATGAAGTTTTGAACTGATGTTCTGGGTAACTTTCTTTTTATTTGGAGAAACATTTATGTAAGTATCCCAGTAATGATTTAAAAACTTCTTTAGAATACCAATATTTATATTCTAAATTTTTTACTAATTTTACATTTACAGAGCTGTAATTTTTTAAAAAAATTTCATTAATATTCACTGCAGTGAAACAATTTGTATCAAAATTAAAATGTCAAAATTTAGACAAAATGTTTTTGCATGAATAAATCAGAAACATGTCTTCATTCACCTATATTACAGTATACTTTCAAAAGAATATACAAAGCATATTTTAATGAAATAAATCTTATACTTACCCAGTTTATTTCTGGAACTGGTATAAGATCCATTCTCTTCCACAAAATTCAGAGATTCTGGCATTTTAGCCTATAGAGTTATTAAAATAGCTGATATCAAAATATTTCTCACATAAAAATGTTCCAGTACCCTTTCTTGAATGATCCCCACCCAATCAGAACACAGCCAAGCCCCCACCCAATCAAGTCACACCCCCACTAGCAGTTAAAAGGAAGAAGCAGCTGCAAGCTCACATCACTCTGAGAAGCACAGAGCTGAAGATGATGAATGAGACTTCATCGAAACGTTGCCTAGATACTTCCAATCTTACGCGGGAGAAAACCCGAATAACCAAAGATCCACATACAAATACCCG